CCACCGGCACCGCATGATGAGGAACCACCAGATTGCTGAGATGATGGGCTACTTTTTCCACCGGCACCGCATGATGAGGAACCACCACTTTCGGAACCACTACCACCATAACCACCGGATTGTTGAGATGATGGACTACTTTTTCCGCCGACACCACGCGATGAAGAATCACCACTTCCGGCACCAGATGACGAGCTGCTACTACCACCGAGGTTACCGGATGGTTGTGATGGTGGAGTACTACCAACGTATCCGCCCGAGGGGTTATTGGCAACACTAGCACTTGAACTACCGTAGCTAGAACCACCTGTTTCTTGACTTGGGGCATTTTTGAAATTATTCGTTGCTTTTTGAGCTAGAAAACAGTAATTTGTTTCGTTTTATTTAACAGTGATGATTAACTGAAACTTACTGGTAGGATTTTCACCCATAATACCGGATGTTGCATTACTAACAGCTTCTTTAACCTTTTCAGCAGCTTGACCAAGTTGATCAACACCTTGTTTTACATAATCCATTGGACCTTTTCCTTGTTGACTGGCAAGCGTACGAACAAAATTTGTTTGTACGACTAAACACCAAAAATTCATTGTGTTTTAGAAAGGTTATGTTAATCATGTTAGAATTGTTATCTCTTCCTTGTTTTAATATTAGTTAAGCATATTATATAAATTATTATTATTATTATTTACAAAACTATTAATGATATAGAATATAATGTATACATACATATAGAATGGATAAAATATGATACACTTGCATATAAGATATAATGTACAATTATGACATGTATAAATAATAATAAAAAGTAAAGATAAAATAATAAATATATAACAATGTATGTTGCACTGAAGTCTCGAACGTAACACGTTCTTCTTCAGAATTAAATTTGTTCTTAAATGATGCTGAAAGATATGTTTAACCTTTTTCATTTCTTCTTTACTGTTCTGTTCTCTTTCTTATCATATATGTTAAATACTAGTGCAGACAAGACGGTGATACTGGTGCGTGAAACTTTTTTTCTTTTTTTTTCATCGTCCATATCAGTATTAAATATATATGATAAAAAAGAGAACAGAACAGTGAAGAAGAAAAGAACAAAGTCAAACATACGTTCCAGCATCATTTAAGAACAAATTTACCTCTGAAGAAAAACGTGTTACGTTCGAAGCTTCAGTGCAACATACATCGTGATATATGTACTATTTTACCTTTACTTTTATTTTATTGTTATTTATGCATGACATAATTGTATGTTATATTTTATCCATTCTATATATATGTAAAGTGGTGGAAAAAAGTTTAAGATACCCTTCGTTTTCATTTTTTCTCTATCAAAGACCACTTTTAATGGATATCTAAATAGTGATTGTGATAGCTCTCGAAAAGAACTACAGATCTATTATATCAAAAACATAAACGATGAATCGATTCAGTTTTTATTCAACAGAGAAAAGTTTAAAGCACTTTTTGTATTTTATCGATTTTGCCATTATCGAAGAACAGAAAAAGTTTCAAAAATATATCATTAGATGCAGAATTGAATGGGCTATATTTTAGTATCGATATTTCTGAAAAGCTATTGGTTATAATAATTAAATATTAATTATTATTATTAAATAATAGTTTTAAAAAAATCTTGTCATAGTTTTCGATTTTTAAGTACACCATAAGAAAGAGTATTGAAAACTAAACAGAACTGTATATTTTTTGTTTCACAACAACTGGTCTTAATGAGATTTCCTAAGGACTTTTTTATAACTTAATTAATACTATATTAATAGTTGAGAAAATTAAACTTTAAGAGAAAGCTTCAAAACTCCGAAAAGCAGTGCATTTTATAGAGTAGAGTTTCTTCTATCGAGCGAGGCCTGACGACTTTTTGTACAACGTGTTATTTATGAGATACAGCGCATGGAAATTAGTATAGTCGAAACAAGGCAAAAAATAGCTAGGAATCATTCATGAAATTACTGATAAAAATTGAGAAACGTTGTCAAAGTCGAAGATTGCATCGTAAAAATGGCTGCTAGGTCTCGTTGCATAGAATAAACTCTGCTCTAACAAAATGCATTACTTTTCAGAGTTTTGAAGCTTCCTCTTAAAGCTTAATTTTCTCAACTATTAATACAGTATTAATTAATTTATAAAAAAGTCCTTAAGAAATTTCATTAAGACCAGTTCTTGTAAAACAAAAAATATACAGTTCTGTTTAGTTTTCAATACTCTTTCTTATAGTGTACTTAAAAGCCGAAAACTATGACAAGATTTTTTTAAAACTATTATTTAATAATAATTAATATTTAATTATTATAACTAATAGCTTTTCATAAATATCGATACTAAAATATAGCCCATTCAATTCTGCATCTAATGATATATTTTTGAAATTTTGTTTTCGCTGAACAAAAAACAGATTCTGTCATAAGAATTGAACCGGTTCATCGTTTATATTTTTGATATAATAGATTTGTAGTTCTTTTCGAGAGCTATCAAATTCATTATTTAGATGTTCATTAAAAGCGGTCTTTGATAGAGAAAAAAATGAAAAACAAGAGTGCCTTAAACTTTTTTCTATCAATCTATATATTATATTCTATATCATTAATAATTTTGTAAATAATAATAATTTATATAATATACTTAACTAATATTAAAACAAGGAAGAGATAACAATTTTAATATGATTAAAAACCAAAAAACTATCATTTCTTCCAAAATAAATTAAACGCTAAATTACTTCGTGAGCCATTAAGAAAAGTACGTGTTAGATTACTAGCCATAATTTGTATTGCTTTGTTAATTATACAAAAAGAATGATAATAATATAGAATCTAAAAATTGAAAGAAGTTACAGTTTTTACTGATTGATCTACGTATATATCATTCGATGTATCTTGGCCAAGAAATGAAGAGAAATAGACGATAAAAACAACAAGAAAAAGAATCGTTCGAACATTATACGTACTCTTTTCACACCAACACGTGCTTTTCAACGTGACTTTATCCAATTGCGTTATCCATGGGATCAATGAGTTTTATTCGAAGATATATTATTTCATCGAATATTTTCAACAATTCAATACGTATCATTTGATTTAGAGGAGATAATTGTATTTAAATCAGATAATTATCAGACATAAATGGTTACCATATTTTGACTATTCTTCTATAAATGAAAAATAACGATCTATGTATAAATAAACGGATAAATATGAGCATTTTTCGAAGAATGTTGACGAGATGTAACACTGAATCGTCGTGGATAACTTATCATTTGCTATAAGGTAAAGCAATGACTTCGGTCAGAGAGTTTCTCGATCAATATATTTGGGTATCTTTTTTTTTTGATTCAATTTCTATTTTTCTAATTAAAATTCATGTCAGCATCTGCATCAAGAGGCTGAGACCGTGGTACTAAGTAAATCTCATTGAATAAACTCAAGTGCAAAATCGATTTATTTGTCATTGGACATAATTCATTAATTTGTATGAGAATGATGTCATTCTCTTTAGGAAGAAGAAGTCGACTAAATGTATGTCCTCCTGATTCCTATTGATCTCAATCAATGGCTGTCGTTCCAGAAAAATTCTATCCTGATATGAACAGCCCACACCACTAAACGACCTGATCAAGGTGGATCACGTATGGAGTTGATCTCCAAAGAAAACATTTTATTTGATGAACTCATTTCATTTGATCATTCAGATTGAGTTATTTATCAATTTAGTTGAATCTTGTGATATTCAGGTTAATTGAATTGATGAGAAGAGAGGAAGAATTGGATGATTTTCTTTAGGTGCTTTCGGCTTTTATTGAAAATCGAATCGCTATTCGACCAAGAAATCCAATTCGAATTCACGAAACTCTAATGAAACAAACAACACGAGCATCGATGGTTTGTATAAAAAAATCAATTTTATGATCGACGACAAACTCTCGATGATTTAAGTTAGTTCAAATTTGATAAAGCACGAAGTTTCGAAAAATCTTTCTGAATTCTCTATGAAGAGTTTCATTTTGATCTACACAATAAGTCAAGTAAAGTGTTTCTTGTGTGAAAGTCAGACTCTTGGAAAATAATTAATTCGTCTGTATAGATAATAATCTCAATGAATTTCGAGTGTTGTTAGACATCTCTTACTTTTCAGATTCAATAAGTCTTGAAGAATGTTCTGATAAACTTCTGCAATGATAATTGACTTTTACGAAATCCTTGTCGTAAAAGACACATATGATCACTTTGAGGGTACGGGTGTGACCCACACCCTAGCGTAACCTTCAAAGCATTCGTTTTTTTCTATATATTGTGATTGAAATGTAAGATTTTTTATCGAGAGCGGCCATAGCATAATTTGGTTCAAAACATTTTTTTTTCCACAGTAAATACGTAGAAGTCGTTCTCGGTAAAAATCTTACATCTCAATCACGATATATTCAAAAAAAAAAAGAATCGTTTGGAGATTGTGCTAGTCTCATGACCACCTAGCTTTGAATAAAATATGAAGTTTAAACATCTCAATAATCTGGTTGACTTTTCTCCTCCTTTGAGATTCCTAGAAAATGACCTGAAGTTGCAATATTTCAAATGAAAGTCATAATTCTTTTTCGACAAATTTATTTTCTGTCAACTATACGCCTAATCAGCATAAAAAAATTCGATAAAAAAACTTTTCCCCAAAAATGGTTGAATCTCCATAGATTTATCCATCCATTAGTTAAAACAATAATGAATGATATCAGAAGAACTTTCTCTCTATTGTCGATAAGAAACATTGATCACTCAATAGTCCTGATTTAAATTTTATACTATTTAATTTTGAAGAAATTTACTACTTCTATCAATCGGACAAGGTAACATGCAGTCCAAGGAAGTCGATACATCCTAGTTGAAAAACCTATGTCAAGGAATTTTGTGGTCTTGTTTATTATAAAATCGATATCGTATTTCGTCCACATGGAGTCTTCCTGTCCTTGTGCTTGGTCTTGCCCCAATTACGTGGCTCTCAGTAGTTAGTGACTGTCTGTTCATTCCGTTTCTCAATCAAGCTTCTGTCATTGCTCGTTGACTTTCTACATTTTGTATATCTACCGTTGAATTAGTCAGTAATGATGAAGTAGCACTACTACATTGCTTTTGTTTCGCTTCCAGATCTCACAGAATCACGAGTGTGTGTTGCAATTGAATACTTTCGTCCACTTCAAATGTTTGTTAAATCGATCTCACTTACACGATCACTCCAAACATCAGTTCTTTCCAAGTATAACTGCAGTGGTACATCGAGAACAACATTCACATTAAGTACACGAACCATCAGTCGTCTAAGCATTCCAATCCAACAATCGATTGATGATAAGGTAATCGCAGTAGTTTCTTTTTCGTATGTCACTCGTTCAAATTGATAATTAAGAAAATGAAGTTTTTCTGTATCAATCAATGGAAGACGACTGATCATATCATGCAAATAAATCTCAACTTCTTCATAATCATATATCGTATCTTTACTTTTTCCATATTCATAATTAATAACAACACTATCATCAATTAATTTTTGACTCAAATCACAACGATCAAGCTAAAATACATGTTCAGGATGTATTGCTTGAAGATTAACATGCTTTCGATTTGGGTGTGGGTGTGGATGTGGGAGAGCGTGAGTGTGTTGGTGTGGGGTAGAGACCTGTGGAGTCAAGTTTTTTTATTCCGAAACCCGACTCCGACAAACTCCGAAACTTTTTTATCGAAAACGAGCGACCTCTAATATATCTTATTGTTTCACTTTAAAATGCGCAAATCGATAAACAAATAAAAGAATGGATGAAAATCGAAGAATTATTAAACGATTAATTTTGAATTTCTTTTTCATTTGTTGTGTAGTGAAAATAAAAAAATGGCTACGAAGTATTTGACAAAAAAAGAACTTGAAAAGCTGATAGATGAAAATCATGAATCTGTAAGATTTGCACAAAAGAAAAAAACTACAAATTCTAGCCGAATGTGGGAACATTTTCATCAAATTTTCGTCGATCATGTATAACAACAATTTGTTTCATGTAATGAATGTAAAACATTACTGGCATTTACATCGACAAATGGTACCAATAATTTGAAAACACATTTCAATGCTTGTTCAAAAATAAAAATAAAACAAAATGATTTAAATCAAACAACAGTACATGATTTTTATTCAGCTTCAAAAAAAAATAAATATTCCTAAAAGAATTAGATTGTCTGTAGCACAAGCATGTGCTGAATTTTCGGAATTAGATGATCGAGCTTTTGAAGCAATGAAAGGAAATGGTTTTCAAAATTTAGCACAAGTCTTATTTGATGCTGGTCGTTCATGTAATAACTCGTCGATACAAGTACAGGATATTCTTCCACATCCTACTACTGTAAGACAAATCAAATTTTAAAATAACTTAGCTACTATTTTTAATCGTTTTATCATTTTAGATTAGTAGAAATGTGGTGAGAATTTATGAACAATCAAAATTACAACTGGCCGAAGTTTGTAAGAACTTAAAAAGTTTTTGTGTGGTGGTAGACAGTTGGACGGAGAAGTACACAGGTAAGAATGATGCTCATTAAATCTATAAATGATAAAGCATTCAAACCTCTTTTCTGCTGTTGTTTAGGAGTGAACTATTGTGGTATTGGTTTACGACATGTCGATGATAATTTCAGATTATTATCATTTATTCTTAGGTGTTATACGTATGACGTACTGAGTCATTCAGCTGGGTGTGTGTGGGTGTGGGTGTGGGGTGTGTGGGTGGGGTGTGGATGTGGGTGTGAGTTTTGATGTTTGCTACTCAACAGATTACTTGCACCCACACCCACAAATCCAACCCACACCCACACCTACACACCTCACCCACACACAGGCACCCACACACCCCACCCACACCCACATTCGCACACCGACACCCACAGCCCACACCCACCCCCACACCCTTGTAACTGTGGTAGTGTGAATATGGCGAGTGTGGGTGTCCTTCTATTTTTTCTCTACACCCCCACTGCTTGCTTGTCTGCTTGATCAATAAATGCCGTACCGAATGGGTAAGAATGTGAAGTGTATGAAAAAGAAATATTTTATTTCTTTTTCTGCTCGTTTCTTCGAGAGGTGAGTAAATGATGATGCGATAAGAACGGTGAATATTATTTTTCTTATTTCTGTTCTTTCCAATTTATTGTGTCATTAATGAAACAAAAATGGGCATTGCTGTCGCAAGAAAGTATACAGCATTACTCAATAAGGAAGAGTAAAAAAAACTAATGTCGTTGGTTTTTACCAACTAATGTGAAATAATTGAATGATTTTATCATAACTTGAAAGAAAATATGTACTTTGCAGTTTTCAGTGAAAAATATTCAAGAAATATTATTCATGATTTTATTCTGTCTGTATTTAAATAGTGATCGTTATTATGTGTAGTGTAACAGTTTGTCAAAAATTTGTTTAAGAATTAGTAGCTGAATTGCTGCCGAAGTAAGTACTCCGTTTGATAAGACTCATATCAATAACTATGATCGTATTATCGATATTTGTTGGAGGAGAAACACATTCTTTTAAACATGACGCGAAACATTGTAGTAATGATGCATTCCTTTGGCTGAATTTATTCGTAGTATTATCATGGTTGGAATTTGCTATGGATAGTATTTCATAACTTTTAATAAAGCGAAAAAGAAAATGATGATAACAGAATAAAAGTGTAGATGAGATTATTGTTTTCGAATATTCATACACACTCCTAATCACGAGGAAAAAGCAAACCTACAAAAAGTTTATTATCTATAGTTATATACTACTCAAAAATCATATGAGTGTGAGGATGACCCGATAGTTGAGCTCCCCAACAGTTGACCCCATCGACAATTGAGCTCCCGACACTTGAGCCTCACATGAAAAAATATTTTAAATAATACAAAAATAAATATTATTATAATAAATTCAAATTCACATGTATAATGGAATAGAGAATACATCCCATTCCGCGATGTTGAACATTCCGGAATCAGTTCCCGTCCCGGAATCAATTCCACCGATTCCGGAACTAAATTCAACCAGGCCACAATCCGATTCCGGAATCATTTACAACAAATCCTATCGATTCCGGAATCGCTCAGCATTAGCATCACTCTCATCTCCAGAGGCTTATAACTGCATCTAATTCCGGGTATCGCACGGATCCGGAATCACAACCATTTGGAAGAAATTCCGCGGAATTCCTAGTGATTCCGGAATCGCTCAGCTTTGACATCACAGTCATCGGCTGAGGCTTACAACTAGATGTAATTCCGGGACGGAATTTCGGGTATCGTACGGATCCGGAATCGCAACGATTTGGAAGCAATTACGCGGAATTCCTAGTGATTCCGGAACCGCTCAGCCTTGGTATTACACTCATCTGCTAACCCTTATAACTGGATGTAATTCCGGGTATCTTACGGATCCGGAATCACAAGGATTTACAAGGAATTCCGCGGAATTCCTAGTGATTCCGGAACCGCTCGACCTTTCTATCACACTCATCGGCTGAGTCTTATAACTGGACGGAATTCCGGATATCGTACGGATCCGGAATCGCAACGATTTCGAAGGAATTCCACGGAATTCCTAGCGATTCCGGAACTGCTCAGCCTTCGTATCACACTCATCGGCTGAGCGTTATAACTGTGGGGTGTGGCTGTGGTTGCGGGTGTCGGGTGTGGATGAGCGTGTGAGTGTGGGTGCGGATATCTTCCCATCACACACACACACACACACACCTACACACACACCCACACACACCTACACACCCACACACCCACACACCCACACACCCACACCCACACCGACACCCACACCCACACCCACACCCACACCCTCAATACATCGATAAAGATTGATAGAATAAAAACAGAAGTTGTAATTCCGGAATTGGATGGATTTGGACGGAATTCCTACCAATTCCCACCGATTCCGGATTCGCTGAAATCCGGAATTTCTGAGCGGAATCGGATGGTCATTACATCGATAAAGATTGCTAGAATAAAAACACAAGTTGTAATTCCGGAATTGGGCGGAATCCCTAGCAATTCCCATCGATTCCGGATCCGATCAAATCCGGAATTCCTAAACGGAATCGGATGGTTATTACATCGATAAAGATTGATAGAATAAAAACAGAAGTTGTAATTGCGGAATTAGACGGAATTGGACGGAGTTCCTAGCAATTCCCAGCGATTCCGGTGTTGTTTAATTGAGGAATTCCGGAATTAAACGGAATTCCTAGGAATTGTTGGGGACTCGGTGTATATTCTATTCCGGAATCGCTGAAAACGATTCCGGGGTCGGAACTGGTTCCGGAATGTTCAACTTTGCGGAATAGGATGATTGCTCATGGAAAGCGGCTCCATCTCCTCCAAATGACAAGTCTCTTATTATCAAACAAAAGAGAGGCTATTTTTGCAATTGCTCCTTCAAAAGTCAAAATTTTGCATGTTTCTGTAGTTTCACTAGTTCTGTTTGTGATTATTGAACCAACATCCAGTTTGCATACTCTGTCGCTTTGAAATATATAATAGATTCACAAAGTGATGAGTTTTCTGTTGTTGAATTAAGGACAAAGATGGATTAGCTATTCTATCGAGGAAAACACATAAGTAATTAACAGTCGTTTCATATCTTGGCGCTGGTATCCAGACGGATGTGAGTGTGAATTGAGAGAAAAGGAAGACCTACACCTGTGTCCAAAAATAAATAAATATACAAAACATTAACTTGTGAAGAAGAATTACAAAAAATAGCCTCTTTTTCCTTTGATTATAAGAGACTTGTCTTTGAAGAAGATGGAGCCGTATTCAATTATACATGTGAATTTGAATTTATTAAAATAAGTTTTTTTGTGTATTATTTAAAATTTTTTTTCATGCGAGGCTCAAGTGTCGGGAGCTCAAGTGTCTTGAACTCAATCGTCGGTGGGCTCAATTGTGGGAGAGCTCAACTGTCGGGAGCTCATTTGTCGGGGTTCAATTGTCAGTGTATCGAGTGCGAGCATAGTTATCTGTGTCTATATGAAGACAGAATTCTTACTCATATGCCCATATTATGTCGGAAAGAATAATCATCTCTATTTTTCTATTTCAGATCATTACTGATTAATCATCATGGCTTTTATTCAACGCCTTGTGATTCATTTTCGTGAACTTCAAAAAAATCCACCTCCGTTATGTTATGCAGAACCTGAAAACCCTAGTAAAAGCATGATTCATTGGGTCGGGTGGATACAGGGACCTGAAGATACGCCATATGCAGGTGGAAAATTTCGTCTCACTATAGATTTTCCTGCAGATTTCCCTTACAGAGCACCTGAAGTTCGCTTTGTTACACCAGTTTATCATCCAAATATCAGTGTCACAGGTGAAATCTGTTTAGATATTCTTCATTCACAATGGTCTCCAGCATTAACTATACGCGGTCTTTTGATTTCGTTATGTTCGATGTTGACTGACCCAAATTCGGAACATGGACTCAATAAAGATGCACTCAAGTTATATCGAACAAATCAGAAAGAATACAATGAAACAGCGAGAGATTGGACAAAGAGGTTCGCTATGGATGGTACTAATTAGAAATTTGATAATACGACTGCATTTATTGGCATATTGGTAAATGATCAAGCATAAAATTTAAAACTATTTATAAGGTATCTAGTTTTTTTCTATGATGTTGTTCATAAGGGATGTTTGTTTTATTTATATTATTTTTCATTCAAATAATTAAATCTACATTGGTTTGGATATATTTAAAGCGAACTCAGTACTT